TTACGGTTTTGCCATATGACAGACTTAATTTAAAGTGACCACATATTTATTTTTAGACAGACTTATTTTTTTTTGCCACAGATTTATAAATATTTCACAGATTTACTTAACAAATTTTTTATAATTAGCTTTCAAATTTGACATGATAGATTTATATTTTTTTTACCACAAAATTTTTTTTTTTAACCATAGACTAACTTATATAGATTAACCTAACTCTACCGATTTAGATAAACCAAATCGAACCATACCATATTAACCGAACCAAACAATTTAAACCGGAATAAACCAAATTTTCAATTAAAAAAACGAAAAGTAGGGTTTGATATAGGAGATGTCGTGTGTGTTCTCTGTCGTCTTCTCTCTTTTTAGTCTTCATCTTCTTTTTTTAACATTTAGTTGTCTAATCGACTTTTTACGTGTTTTTGATTAAGTATTTTTAAACAGATGCCAATTTAGTAATATATGAATGAATTAGTGCTAATCTGGATAAATTTCTCTAATATATATTGCATTGTCCAAAGAAGGTAAGTAATTAAGCTTTTATATACTTCTTATGAACCATATAACTTTCTTTCTTTAATCAAACAAAATGGATTTTTTAGAATTATACAAAAATCTAAAATTTTCCTTTCATCTGCAATTTTCACAAACATACCCTATTGAAGACAGCTACATATAGTGCAAAATCAAATCTAAGTTTTGTTACAAATTTTAAAGAAAGTTTTGTTACGTTTGCTTGTGAAGAGAACGTACAGAAAATAAGTTTATAGAAACAATCAGTGAATTCTTTTTTTTTTTCATAGAGTCACAAATCAGCTTCATTTTTTTTTTTTTTGTGTTAGAAAAGTTTTCAAGCTTTTTATGTCGATCTAATCATTTTAATATTAATGTCTTGATGATTACAAAAAAGGCAAGTATATATACATTTCAGAAACTTGGTATCTTCGTAATAAAAGCATATCTTCTTGTCAAGATATTCAAGGAGAGTCGCTCTTCCTCCTCTTCCTCTCGTTACACCATCTTGAGAAAACAACAATGGAGGATTTGGACTTTCCGGTAAATAAAATTACATGCATAGTTCAATCTGAGTTGTATAATTAAGTGTCTTAATCCGGTTTATCTTCCGATTAGCATATGCTTGAGAATGGCCTAAATCGTGTTCGTTTTTGCAGATTTGTATACTGAAAATGAATCTACAATGTTGTGAAGATTTTCCTTCTCGGATCAAGAAGCTTTTGCGTAAAGTAAAAGGTACTGTCAATTTAATCCCTTTGTTTCAAACTCTTTTACTTGACCTAATTTCATCTTTGTAAAAAAATTGATTTTAGGGTTATGTTTGATAAATAGGAGTTTACGCTATTACCATAGACCCGGCTAAGGGTCTGATTATAGTCTCCGGCACAGCAGAACCTCCGGTACTTATCAAAGCCGTCGAAAAAATGGGACAAAGTCCACAACTTTACGCTTACGAGAAGGATCCAGCTAAGGCAAAGACTCGGTTTCGAGGCTTGCTCAAGCGTTACGTGGCCAAAGAGCCCCAAGAAGAACCACCGCCCATAGCCGCCCCGACCGCGGGAACTTGCCCAGTGGGAGGTGAAACAGCTAGAGGTTTCGGGTATTCTGGACCACCAAGAATGATGCAAATGCCAATGTTTACTTTGCCACGGAGAATGGGACCACCGGGATGGTTAGCACCGGGGACTAGACAGAGGTTGATGGTTAAATACGAGCACCCCGAGGTGATCACTAGGAAGCCCCCGGCGCCTTATCCCTTTGATTTCTACGAGAGCAAAGGTTTTCCAGCATCCGACTCGCTTTTCAACTATTTTAGCGATGATCACGCGCAACCATGTACTATCATGTAACTATGGTTAACTTGGTCTAGTGGTTTAATTAGAGTAGTAAATGATTTGTTCTATGGATTTCAAGGCCAATGTTTGAATTCCACCAAGTATACGAACCTACACTGTTGGTAACTGTAAACATTTTAATTGCAAGAAATATTCGGTTTTTTATTAGCCTTGGGGATTTGTGTCACGAAGTTCACATCAACTTTTGACTGTCGATATTTATGTTCAGATGAATTGCATACGGATATGCATTAGAAACCCAGTGTGGTAAATTGACCTTCACATCATTTGTACAGATTTCAATTTACTAATAAAATCTTCTCACTCTATATATTTTGAAAGATTTTGATAAGTACTCTAAATAAAGTTATAGTATAGATTTCAAATTACTAATAAATTTTAGGATATACAATCTTAAGTTTAGCCAAGCACATCGATTATATTCCACATAAAAGCTTAATTTCTAGTTTCTTATCCCTAATTCATAGTCTCTTTTATTCAAATGACTTGGACATGATGCATTAGAGACCTCAGCGTAGTTAATTGACCTCACATCCTTCACTATGTCAACTCTATTGTACAGATTTGCAGCTGGATAATTCGAAAATTTTAGAATCTTAAATTACAATTGGCCATAGTCGCGTGATGCATGAATTGAAGAAAAATTTCACCTCTTGACTTTAAAAGCCAAAAGAGTATCAATCTTGATAAAAAAAATTCCACCTCTTGACTTTAAAACCCAAATGAGTATCAATCCTATTATATACATAGATGAATGAATCGCATAATCATATTAGCGCGTAGTGACATTATTGTCAATATAAGCTACAACTTGGTTAATAGTCAAATCAAAACACATCATTACTCCACCCTAGAGAAGACTTATAAATTATAATCATAAGTCGTCTTACTATTTTCACAATAAATACTTTGAAATCCCTTAGCTTAATAAG